GTGGTGGCCACATGTTGGTTTCTCAGCTGGCAACGTTGTAAGCCAGAGAGAGCTTGGAGGAAATGGAAGAGAGAAAATCCACTAGGGTTTTCATTAGGATGTACGACAAAGGGTAACGCGCTTTTCCCCTAAGAAGTGTGCGTATGTGTCTGTGTACTTGAAAGAATACACGTAATGCACATCATTATGCGGATATATTTTTAAGTCTTTTGAAGCATATTTGAAAGCAAAAAAAAAAAGATTAACTTCATCGAGCTATGCATTTTTAGTGCTTATGTCCTGCAAATCACCATTACAGTATCCTACATGTTAGAGCATAAATATGCTCAAAAAGTATTTGCAAAACAAATACGTGTATATTGACTGTCACTGATGGGCAGTAAGTAAAAAGAGAAAATTCCAGTCTGCAGACTCTGACTTATAAAATATATCTAATGGTTTAAAGTCCACCTAAAGGAATTACGTGATTAAATATTAATAATCATGATAAAACATTATGGTCAGACTAGAAAGTAGCTGAAATAATTGTATATTAATAAACATCAGAGATTTTAAAATTCGGAAAGATATGAGACCAGCAGGTGGCATAGTGATTAAGATGCTGGACTCCCATGCAGTCAATCATGGTTCGAGTCCTGAACCAAGCGGCTTGAAACGCACGCTGGGTGCATGTGCCAGCCTGCCCAAAATCTTGAGAAGAGAATGGAGAAGGGATTGTGGAGTGGCCATCCCCCCGGGAAGTGATTTTTCATTTTCTGCCCCTCTATCTCTGTCTCTGTGGCAAGCGCATGCATTTAATAGCAAAAATCTCTCTCTTAAAAAACAATGGACAGGAATTTTAGAAAGGATTTGGGTTAATTTTTGAATCCTACAGATAACTAAGAAATAGAAAGAGTAAATCGGATGTCAAAATATACACGGCTTTTTTTTTTTTTTTTTTTTAAGGAGCATCTTGATTGGAAACAAGGGAATTTGATCTGAGACTCAGTGTGGGACCACGGCACAGGACAGCCCCGTAGCTGAGGTCAAGTGCAGCAGTTCCAGGCTGCTCTCTTCTGCGGCACACACTGCTGCTGGGTGCATGCTGAGCCTTTTTCCCTGGGAAACGATGCTTTTTCCCTTCCTGCTTTCCCTGTAATTTGGCCTGTCATTCAAAGTAGACACACCTGTTCCTTCTTTTTTACTCCATCTTCCTTTGTGGGTTTGGGAAATTTTAAGCCCTGTAGCAAGTCTGTAAAAAGACAGGGACGTTTTTAACCTTCGCCTGGAGAGACACCTGCGTTGACTTGCTGTAGGTGAGATCTACACGTGAACATCTGTCCTACCGTGTGCCTGGCAGTCTTGTCGATCCAAGGACACGTTTCCATCTGCTGTCTCTCTGCTTGAGCTGCTGTGTGGTCACAAGTGGAGTGACACTAACGCCCACACAAAGCCTGACTGGGGTTGGTCCGTGGCCTGGTGGGTAAGGGAGCCAGCTGACCATTCAGTTCAAATCCTGTCCCCAGTCTCTTGAAAAGTGTGCTAGATACATGTGCATACGTGCCCCAAATCCCAACAGGATGAGGAAATTGAAAAGGGATTGCGGTGCGACCACGCCCCACTGGGGATCTTCCCCCACTCCCTCTCCTCTGTCTTTCTCTCTGGCGAGCACACGTACCCTCTGGCAAATTAAAAACAAAAACAAAAATAACACAGCCAAAACCATCACCCTGGCCCCAGAATGATGTGATCCAACTAGCTTCGGGAATCAGCCACTAGCCTCTCAATGTCAGACAGGGCCCAGGTGGCAACCAACTGCGACAACGTTAAACCACACAGGAATGCTCTAGAAAATGGAAGAGAAAGCTGAAGAACCAGGTCTTAGGATGTGCTGGCCTCAAACAGCTCAGGGCACCTGTGCAGCAGGGCCTACTGACACTGTCCTCGGTAGGGGGGAGTCACGTCTTTGACCCTGTATCATTCTGATAGATTCAATTTGTAGGGAGACAATCTGACTAGCCACACGTGGGTCTCGTGACCACTGCCAGAAGTGGAGAAGTCTCCTGGGTGCTCATTCAGACTCACTATGCAGCCAACTGCATTATGAGGGGAAGTATCCCAAAGGAACGTACCAGAAAGAAAGGGGGACTGGATGTGAGGCAGTTACATCAGAGGTGTCTGCCACACCAGAAACTCTGGTGACATGAAATGGGGAGAGTCCCAGGTGGGAAGGGAGTGGCTCTAGACAACAAATAGCCAAATGGTGAGACCAATAAAATGGCTGTTAGATCTGGTTTTAAGCAGTACTTTTAAATTGGACCATTTTTCTTTGAAATGATTCCAGCACTGCCTAGACCCTGAATGGTATGTGAGTAACTGGCCCATTAAGCATCTCTTTCCAGTCAGTATAATTTATCCTCCTACTCCTTCTCCTTCTGGCCCCTTCCACTCCCTTCTCTGCTAACCGCTGAACTTCAAGGGTGTTTCTTTCCTTTTTTAAAAGAATTATTTTATTGGGACGAACAGTTGGCATAATGGCTATGTCATTGGACTCCCACGTAGTTGACTGCAGTTCAAGTCCCAGACCCGGTGGCTTAAACGCACGCCGGGCGCATGTGCGTGCATGACCAAGATCCCGCGAGGAGAATGGAGGAGAAGGGATTGCCGTGTGGCCATCCCCCCTGGGGAGTGATTTCTTGTCTTCTGTCTCTTCTCTGTCTTTCTGGCAAGTGACATTCCCTATAGCAAAAACCTCTCTCTCAAAAAAAAAAGAATTATTTTACTTATTTGATTCCATTTGTCATTATTTTTAAATTTGACCTGAGAGAGAGAGAGAGAGAAAAAAAAAGGAAAGCAAGAAAGCAAGCTACCAGGTCTGAGACTCAAACCGCAGTCAGCCACATGAGAATCCAGCACCTCTATCCACACCACTTGCAAGGCTGTGCTGAGGCTGGAAGGTGGATCAAACGCCATGGAGGGGCTTTGCTGACTTTCAATGTTTAACAATGGCGATTTAAACATTTTAAATCCGATTCAAACCACCTCATCAGAGGTAGGAGAGAGAGAGAGAGTAAAGATGGATAAAATACCTATTTGAAGATGCCTTCTGAGTGATCTCTTAGGCACTCTTGTTCAAGACCTTCTATTACAATTTCGAGCAGACATTGTGGTGATGAAAACTGGGTCTTTATTTCCACTCACAGTACAGACCAGGCTGGCCTGTTCAAAGAAGACAGGTTTATTCATCGCGTCAGCATTAGTGGGCTTTGTCCTGTGTAAAGCTACAGCTCTGGTTATTAAAATAGTCGCTGTAGGAAACAAATTTCTAACCCATTTCTCATATTACTTACACACAGAAAAAAAACAACATTTGATATCCTCGGATTTGTGTGCCGCGGGAGCTTCCCATAAAAGCAGTGAGTGTGCCTTGGAAACTTCTGCCTGGTTAACTCCTTTACGGATAAACGTTAGTCACAATCGCCCCCACCCCCACCCTCGCCCCTGCCACCCTCCCCACCTCTCCACTTCCCGCCTCTCCAGGGCTGGTGACCTAACAGCATTTTTCTCCGTGCATATTTTGGCGTCGCCCCATGGCCTGGCTGCCTGCGCCTGTCTGAGTCTTTTGAAATTCCTGCATGTTCGCCCCAGATTAAGCCGAGCGTGTCTCAGGATGTGTGTTCCGTTTGGTTCTTTCCCCTTAACGCGGCCTGTGCAACGTGTCTGGGGGGAGGCCTGGACCGGGCGGGGGGGAGGGGCCGAGGCGAGGAGCTGTCCGCCCTGCACGTTTCCAATCGCATTACGTGAACGCATAGCGGAGGGGCGGCCGGGCCAGAGCGGCTTGTGTAACTTTGCAAACGTGCCAGAAAGTTCAAAATCTCTCCTCCTTCCTTCACTGCAGACACTGCCCGCTCGCCGGGACCGCCGCGCCGCTCCCGTGGCCTTCCAGAAGGACTGGGAAAGGGGCGAGCGCCGGTGCCACGTCCGAGCAGCCGCGCGGACTGGGGAAGGGTCTGCAGCCCACCTTCGGCACTGCCGGGTGCGGACCGAGATCCCCGC